ATAATGAGGACTTATCATTGCCTACCACTATTCATCTGGACCTATATGTTTCATACAATTGATGCTATCCCATTTCAAGAAAAAGCTAACAGTGATTTACCAAGTGAAAGGATAGTGGGTCTGACACAAGATGATGGTAAAACGCTACATCGTACCAAGCGTGGCTGGATGTGGAATCAATTCTTCTTGTTGGAAGAGTACACAGGTACAGACACACAATATGTAGGCAAGGTAAGAATTTTTATATAAGTCTAGAAGCTGAAAGTGATAGTTATTTTTTACAGCAGCTTTCCACATCACTAATGATTATTTTAAAGTATTTGACAAATGGCAATGTGCAGAAGGCATCATGTTGTAAATTCTTTCAGGAGGATAGTGTGGGGAATGTGATTTATTCAGGTAGTTAGTTTAGGTCAGTAACCATAGTAAGCCTCAAAATAAAAAAACTAATTTGTGGACTTAATTCCTTATTAATCAGCTAGATATGATTTAATATTATGCATGTGCATCTAAATGATTAAAAAAAACTTTCTTTGAAATTTAAAGTTATGGGTAAATAATAACTCTGTTTTATATGAAGCAAAGCAAAATGCAATTGCAATATACCAAAAGTTACCAAAACGTATTGGTCTCTGCTGATGAATAATTTATCAAAAAAGTTAAATTAAAATGTCACTAAGATTTCTTAACTCCAAATTTCTGATATTTTCTAGGATTGTGGAGGGAGCTGGGTATGTAGGTAGGAAGTGCTAGTAAAAAAATTAAAAATTGCACGTGGATAAATCCAAGGTGGTGGGATTACATATGGCAAGAAAAAAGAAACACAAATATACATGCGAACACACACTCACACATCTACACAAATGTTAGTCTAATGGGATGAAGTTAGACCAGTACTATGAAACACCCAAACATGCTGAGATGTTTTTACACACAGCATGGGATGTGAATCTGTGTTAAACTCTCTTGTACAAATTCACTGTGGGTGGAGCACAAATCTGGGATGATCAATTTGCTTTCAGTGTCAGGGTATACCAAAGGACTAAGAGGATGAATTATGAGGATTTTTTATAAGGAAATACTGTAGAATATTTTATGTCATTTCAGATGTTTGCAATATAAGAGAGAAAAGTCAGAAGTGTTGAAATTAAGAGCAATTTTTGTTTTCACAATAATGCAAACTGAAGTTTACTAATTCTGTTTTCTATAGTAAGGGACACCTTTGGTTCTTACTCAGGAAGATTACAAAGTAGTAACAATTGCCATGTAGTTTCACAGTAATTTGAACAGACACATGTGACTGAATTACTTGGGCAAAATAGTAATACTGCTCAAGAGAAGAATTAAATTTAACAAGAAGCATAGCAAAGTCTCCTACTATTCTGTTAGAGAAACTTCATATGCCATTGATTTTTTACACATTAGATCTAGATCTTGAAAAATCCATAGCTATCATGGATTAATAATCGATTGCTCACATGTCTATAATTATTGAGAACTGAGCAGATTTAAGTATTTTAATATCTGGTTGTTAAAACATATTTATTACATGAAGAGATAAATGTACAGAGATAGTATTTATTATTTCTAAAGGAAACAATATTCATACAATAATTCTGAAATATCAACTTAATTGACCAATACATTTTAGTTAAAAGATATGTACTTTTTAAAAATTATTTGGCCACTTCACACGTCACGTGGGATCTTAGTTCCCTGACCAGGGATCAAACCCGCGCCCCCTGCTTTGGAAGCACAGAATCTTAACCACTGGACCACGAGGGAAGTCCCAGAGATATGTATTTGTACTTGATTTGCTAAGTGCAGTTGTCGAACTGCCTATAAATAGTCACCATCTAAATTCAATAAGGTATCTTTTTTACAGAATTAGCTCTCATTTTTTCATAGTTTTAATTCCAAAACGTTTACTATTCCATAGCTGAAATTATCCAAAGTATAATCATAGAATTCGGAACTGGAAGAGAATTCTAACATTCATGAAACTCTTGGTTACAACTGGATAGTACTGGTGTAGGTGTTAACTAAAATGATGAGAAACAGAAACACCAGCTGCCAAATCGTTAGGAGTCTGGTTTATATTTGATTGAGTATCAAACGGTGGGATGACTCTCTCTCTTGAACTTTCATATGTTGATGTGTGCACTAAATATGGATATTTTTCCCCAAGCATATATAAAATGATGTTCTTGGATAGGCGATTTTCTCTTAGGCTTTTAGAGTATGGCAGTATGATTTGTACAGAGACAGAAATAAAGTCTGAAATTTCCTGAAGGATATTTAATAAGTTTTTATAGCCCATTATAGTGTTTTTCAGAATCTAAATAAATGATCTTTATAAAGGTTTTAGAATGTCATTACTTATGGTGCAGTACATGTACCAGCTGCTTCTGATTTATGGGCACATTGTATCCCAAAACGCTCTTTACAGTTTCATTGTTTAAAACTAAGAACATGTGAGAAAAATATTAAGCATTAAGGCTAGGTGCTCAGGACAGTCTACAAAAGCTTATTTCATACTGAATTCTACAAAATCTACTTTTACAATAGAGAGCTATCATTTCATTCTTACTGCCAATCCCCTCACTGCCAGTACTGTAATACCACATCTCTGCACCATTGCATCAGCACACTAAATATAGTCTTTTCACTTGACTTTATCTAATTTTTAATTCTCAAAAATATATTATACACTGTTTCTGGAATGATATCAATCTCTTGGACAAAATGTATATAGAAAAATAACCTAAATTTACTTAGGTAGATTTCAGTGTTCAGTATCATTGTGTATTCCTGCCTATGTTCTATATTCCCATAATTAAGTAGCCTTGGCTCCTAAAAAAGTGAAAGCTTTCCTTTTCCAAATACTTGACCTCTATCTGATCATGTTCACAGGCACTTTTCCACAGAGTATCTAACATCCTTTTCCATAATCTCATCTCTTCTCTGCTTTAAGTCCTACATCAAGTACATCCTCCTACAATAAGCCCATCTTCATTCTCCCCAGCTAGAACTTCCTGTCAAAGTTATGAAATCATCTATCAAAACCTTATTTATGGCACAATTTTAATTATCTTGGTCTAGCAATTTATCTCCTAGAATCTGTGACATTTGGGATTTGAATTAGTGTTAGATTTAAGGTTTTTTTCTTATTTTCTCAAAATATTTGACGTATTTACTCAACATTAATATTCAGTTGATATCTCAATAGATCTTTACTGAGTATTTATTAATCTGGGTCCTGAGAGATCAACACTATAAAGCACAGAAAGAGCAAAATTAAAAGAAATATATTTCCTGTTCCTGACACGTTACACGAAAGTTGATTCCCTTTCTATATTTCTGTTATACTTGAAGGCCCTAATTGTAACCAAGCCCCTCCCATTTTGCTCTAGGACCTCAAAACAGCACATACAGTTTAGAATCATTTCACTCCAAAATAACTACCACAAGTATTTATAATTAAAAGTTAAATAAGTTCTGATGGAATTAGGAATTATAGCTACTTCTAGAAAATTTTTCATTTAAAATATATTAGTGAGCATATTTTTTCTGGAATTTAAGTTAAAAACATTCAAAATATATTAGAATGTGGTAGAAAATGTTTATTAGTATGATTCCCAATTATATGTGTGACTTTTCCTGATATCTTCTACCGATTTTGCTGCTTTTGAACTGTTTCTAATACTCCAACATTCTCTTCCTCTACTTCCAAACTTTCAGAGGATCAAATGCACCCTTACATACTCATCAGTGTTAACAAAAGAAGAAAACAAAAGAAAAAAGAAAGAAATAGAAGTAGTAGATTCTTCAGGAGGGTACAGGGAGAGCAATAGGGGAAAGTATTTAAGCACAAGCATCATTAATTATTATTATTCGTAGTAATTATCATTATTATCATTATAATAAAAGGAATTTGTGCTACCTACAAAAAAAAGGTCTAGAAAATTAAAAATTAATTAAAAAATCAAAGAAAACTATAAGCATACCACCAAGACAAGGTAAATTGTTTACATATTTCTACTTATTTACTAGTTGTATTTTCTTAACATTCTTGATTTTCTATTGTTTATGAATATTTTATTTTGCCTTTCTCATTCGATGTTGTGTTTTTGGATATTGTTAAAATGTCAATATTAGCCATGTCATATTATGTCGTATACATAATCACAACCATTTAAAAAATTTCCAAATATTCTATTTAGACTGTCTGGTTTTATACATGCGTGTGTGCACGCACACACACATACACACACACTCACATCTCTCTGTGATAAAAATTTTGTACCTGATAATTTTTAGTGTGCTTTAAATTATATTTAGGATGAATTGGGAGATTGGGGTTGACATATATACACTAATATGTATAAAATGGATAACTAATAAGAACCTGCTGTATAAAAAAGTAAAATAGAATTCAAAAATTCAAAAAAATTATCTTTAGGATAAATTATTGAAAGTGAATTTTGCAGAATCAAAGATATGAATGAGTTTAAAGTTCTGGATGTATATTAGTCAACTGCATTTCAGAAAATTTATATGACTTCTCTTTCAACAACATAGGATATTTGTATGTTGGATATTTATTTGTAAATTTATCACTGTACCTTAATGTGGATGTTAACCCTGTGCATTACTGTTCAATTAGCTTGAAAAACTGAACACCTACAATGTGGGACACTATGCGGAGTCCTAAAAATAGGAGTCAATAAGATGAACTGGTCCTTATCTTCGAAAGAGATAGAAATAGCTTATTGTAGATAGGAAATTCTCTATCTATAATAAGCAAAATGCTATTATTGCTGGACTGCTAGGAGAAAGACCCAATAGAAGTCTCAATTTAGGGGAAAGATGACACATTGTTTTTCTTATCCAATGGACTGAATTCCTAATACCTAAACTTTCACCTAAACTGGAATCATTCTCTAAATTAATAATGTTTGTTTATTCATTAATTTAGGAACTGCCATATTTCCCTGTTCCAGTGAACACAGACATTTTTACCAGATAATCACAAATATTCAAACTTTCCTCATGCAAACATTTTGTAATTTGTCCACAATAAATCCTAATAACTCACGTTAAGGGTCTTATAGCTATGATGGTGGTGTTCATGGGAAAGGTGTTAGAAAGTTATTCTAAAAATTGTCCAGCCTTCTTTACACTGATTTAAATCATAAAGTAATTGTGGTCACTCTAGATATGCTATTAAA